TAGCCGTCCAGGCACCAGAACGCATGCGGCCGTTGCACGGTACACAGTTCCGTGCTGACATTGACCGCATCGGCAACAGCTGGTTCTCGCGCAAAATGTGCGCATCCAATCCATGCCTCAGTATTCCATTGCGGCAGTCATGGTGCAAACACTGCAGACGTTCGTGGCGGCGGCGCGTCAGCGAAAGACTCGCCGGCGCGGCCAATGGCTCTAGGCCTCGGTGCAAAGTCGACAACGGCTGGCTTATTCACAGCTTCACCAAACACCTCTTGGCCCGCGTGGTCCCAATTGCCGACTGGGCGCCACCGCCATGATTCAATCACACTATGCCTCCCTTAGGCAAAGCACCATTACGCATGGACTCGGCCCCCGGAGCCTCCAGGATGACCATCGTCCGTAAATGTCATGGCGAGATGCGGAGAACTGACGCGCCACGAGAAACGCCCAGCTGCGCCCGTTCGTTCTTGTACTCATTCCCCGTCTTTCCTCATAAACCCGTTGTTGTCGCTCCCACTCACGCCTGCCATGGTAAAAGTGTTAAGATCGAATTTGAAGGTTTTCGCGTTGTGACATCACAGCACGCTTCCTCGGCATCTGCCCCGGCTTTCGGAACCGACCTTCGAAAATTCTGCGAACACCATGAGTCCCATTCCTAGCATCGAGCGCAAATGGAGAGAGGGTGAGGTCGTACCCAAGCCCAGCAACCCGGAGGAACTCATCCTGGAAGCATGGGCGCAAGGTTATCTCGTGGGTTCGCTCATCATTATGGCGTTCATCACGTTGGCAAACATGAGGCGCGGCGTCCTGTTGCACAAGGTTAGTAAGAACCCTCTTTAAGCAGTGACCACCGCTGACAACCATCTAGTTAATTCTCCTTGAAGTGAGTCCACATTTACATATCTGCTTACATCCATACTAATCAAGTCCAGCTCATCCTTGGTATCTGGCAAGGATTCTGGTTATTTTTTCCCAGCCCAGTCCACGCCTGGTGGCTCTCCGTCGCCGCCATCTTCCTGAACGCCTCCTGGTCTCTGCACAATGTCATTGCATGGATGAAGATCAAGCCGTTCCTCTCAAAACCTGTCAGCTATATCTTCATCGGTACCGTAGTGCTTGTTCAACCGTACTGGGTCGTGGAGATATACGCCAACTTCGCCTACTTTCATGGCGTCAACAAGATATTCCTGAAAACACGACCATATGAGGCGCTATGCCGCGATCCCTGGTGGATTCTCACCACCATCTACCTTTTCTGGGTCATCAAGACGCAATACGAACTGAGCCTCAAGGAGATCGTACGCATCTCGCCGCGTTTTGGTATCATGTTGTTGTCCATGTTACTCAGCATCGTCTTCATCGTCCTGGACATTTCTACAGTCACCGAGGCTATCAAACTCCCAGGAGCCACGGGTATCAACCCCTTCTGGAAGTTCGCATTCGTATTCAAGTGCCTGACGGATTCCGTCGTTCTCGACGATTTCAAGGTGGCGCTCGACCGCCTGCGAGCTTTCCGGATCAGTCGACTAGGCAGCTTCTCGGGTGACCCGAGCGACAGCCGGAGTCGTAACGACAACAACCTCGTCGCCACATGGGAAGAGATGGAGAGGGAAGCAAACGCGCTCCAGAATGTGCGCAGCCCAGACGGCGACTACATCCATCCCAGCAACTTCCCACTGAAGCCAAAGCGTGCGCGAAGACCTCAAAAAGACTCTGTCATGTTCCCCAACCAGCCGGATTACCGAGACTCAAACGCTGGGCTGGATCCAGAAGATATCGTGCCCAGCATGTTGGGCGATGGCCCTACAGGAGCAGATGCACAACCCGTGCAGAAGAAACAACATCAGTTTATCGACGACATGGTCAACAGTAACAGCAGAGACATGGCTGCGGAGAAGGACTATGCTGAGGCGATGAGAGACATGCAGCGAGATAGCGTCTCAACACCCCGACGAACGAGCGAGTCTCCCCGTCGACCACCGCCTCCAGGCTGAGTGCACAATCGATTTTCGAACACTCAACACGATTCACAACGAATGATACATCAGTAATCACGAACGGGCAGGCGTTACTACGGTCGGCACATCTACGGACACATATACCCCTACCCATGCGATGCACGAGCACGCCTCGTGCCCCACGCACGATCTATCCTTGCACACCTCAGGGTGGTTGTGCGCAGCGGACAGGCATGGCCCCACGAGAGGCCCCACGGGTTTGGGGTTTGGGGCAGTGATAGAAAGGAGCCTGGGGCTCGCTATTGCGGATTGAGTTAATGACGAGCGGCATACTGGAACAAAAGGCGTTTTTGTACATGCTGACAGGCATCGGGCCGAGTCGGCCCTCATTTATATACCCATTTGCGATTTTTACTTTGTTATGGATGTGGCTATGGATATGCTGTTGCATGTGCAGTAGGAATGTACGTGAATTTGCATGAATACCTCATGTGGATCTTTTGAGCAGTGGTGTGGTGCACTTATTGATTTGTGCTGTCTCGTCGGCGCGTCGCGGTAATAAATGCAACCTTGTCTTCATTCTCAGATACCTCTTCTACGAGTCTCCAGTTTACGTAGCCGACATCGACCCTTCTTCCGAGTAGAGACCCTTCGTCCACACGAGGGAACAAGAAGGGACCACCACTCCTTGACGGCCTGTGTAGTTTGTTGCGTACACGTAACCAATCTCCTTGGTAGTCACGTTCTCGGCGGTGACACAGGGTCTCCACTGCATATCTTTCGTGAATTGCGGGAATCTTGAATCGATCTTCGTTCCACAGCAATGTTCCAGAGCTGTGCGGATATATCGGCCGGTAAGTATACGAAACATCGTTTTCACGACTTTTGCTGCGCCTGTGCGCCATTCGATCTCTATTCTTACGGCGAACCTATCCTGCTTTTCATTGGAGAATATCATGTAGAACATGGTGCTGTCTGGCCCAGAGCAGACGAAACTGGGTTCATCGAAGAAATTCTCTTCCCGAATTGGTGGCCATGAGCTCGATAACGAGTACCCAGTCTGCGAACAGAATCCGTCCACCACGTTGTGCACAGGATCGCTATACCGGGAAGTTCGCGACCAGAATTTAATACGGAACAGGAGCCTTTCCAGGGTGGTGCTAGCGGCGACAATCTGATCACGCATGTCATAGCTAGACATGTGCGTGATGTATATCTGCTTACTCTTAATGGCCCATTTTGTGCGTTGAGATGGGCGTTTCGTTTTAACGAGAACGGGTGGGCAACTGCTGACTCTCGCAAATTGGTTCCCATTCCAGATTTGCTGTAGAACAATGGCAATTCCTTCCCCTGCGCTTAAATGTTCTTCCACGATGCCTACCCAGACCTTCCTTCGTTCATTGATGAGGATCATGAGAAGCTCGATGTGCAAGCCACGTCCAGTGACGGTAGTGTGCGTTTTTGGTATTCGCCGAGTGACCAGACCCATTCTCGGCTCCGAATATCCAAGGAACGCCGTTGGTGATGTTGCAACATATGATGTATGGCGCGTATAAGGACAATTGTATCCCCAAGTAAGAGAACTCATGTCATCGGAACCACTCAAGATGACCTCTTGAAGCCTGATGAAAGCCTTGTTTCCCTCTCCGTACAATAACGGCATGTTGACGTTCAGCAGACCGAGGAGGCAATATGCCTCGTCCTCCACACGACTAGTGCTTCGCCTCGCCATCCATGAGAACACACAAGCTGCCGGTACAGATGAATTGGCGCCAGGGGGACTGTAATGATTGAAGTGAATGTGGTGGATGGACGTGATATCACTGAGTAGATCGACATAGCCCCGCCAGATCGTGTCGCCAGAGGTATCCGTCTTGGCAAAAGAGATGGGCGTCCAATTAGTGTCGTAGAACTCGATTCGTTTAGGAGCAAGTAGCTCCTGTAGTGTCCAGCCTCTAGTAAACCATCGACTCTTTCGGAAGGCAGAATCTGGCTCGTAGACATATATTTCAGAAGGCACATCCTGCAAGTAAGCATAGCACACCTTAGACTTCCTGTACCAATGGAACATAGAATTGATAGCTTCGGAAAGCTCCGCGCTGCTCGTCTTATCGATGCAGCACGTGTCGACCCATACCCATGACAAGTCATCCTTGATCGCCTGCTGACAGCATCCTTCAATCTTGGTGTAGCCTTGCTTCTGTTGGTGTCCTTCCCTGGACAGATCTTGTAGTGAGACTTCTTCCTTTCCCCAAGTATGCGATAAGATTGCGTATGAAGGGATCGAATTACCGAAGAACTCCTCCAGTTGCCGGGTGTTGACGTTGAGCAATCGCATGGCTTGGATGTCACCTCCACCTTCCCCCACAAGGCTGAGATCGGCTTTGGCGTAAAGTGGCTCTTTCGCGATCAAGGTCGATCGTTGAACAAATGGACGGAAGCCGCTGTACAGCGACTCCCCTTTTGGAATGTATCGGTGTTTGAAGCAGAGATACGGTCATGTAGACAGTTGAGAAGGGAAGGCCACGGGACTTCAGCGCTGAGTTGTCAGCCTGGACGGAAGCGCGCATACTGCTGCATCGAGGCTGGGCTGCAGCCACTTCCATCGCGCATCTTCACTACCTACGACCAAAATACACGACCCTCATACTGATGACTATCGAGATGAATATTCTGGGGAATTCTCTGAGTGTGCGTCTATGAAATTCGTGGTCGTAAAGCGTCGTAGCGGTTCGGGCTCGGTCAAATGCGCTGTACATTCTAGACACATGCCGCTGAGAAGACAGAGTTTAACTCGCTGAGCTATACCGGCGATGTGGTGAGTATCCTCAAGTAGGTCAAAGTTGCGAATCGAGGATGCGGATCTGCGCAGCTATCCACATGTTCTTGAGTGCGGAACATTCCGAGCCTCGGCTCACGATTAGGAAGGGCACCTGAACCCTCGCGAAGGGGCAGGGCGGCGTATGCTGACGCTCATTGTATAATAACGCGGTCATCCCTTGCTGTCGCTCATTAGATCGATAGCCATCTTCTGGTATGGTCACAATGGCACAGACGGCTAGCATCGTCGTTGCGGGCGCGTCAATGGCAGCACTCGTGTCGCAACCTACTATGAGAGGCAATCTGATGGCTACGCTGGCCAGATGGACAGGCTACAACGCGCCTGGCGGTCTATGGAGGATAGCTGCGATCCTTCTCGCATTGGCGAACCTCAAGAATCTGCCATTTGTCTGGCATGTACGTATATGGCGGAGCGGCAAGACACGCGACTTCGAGCTGACGATATCCACAGCTACGCTTCATCCGCGCCTTGTTCTATCAATTGTACTTCCAACCGACTCCGATTCCTCCGCATGCGCTCTTCCAACCGATCATAACCTCGACGCGTACCACGTTCCTCGAGACAGATTACAACATGCACAAGTCCAACAGCACGTACTTTAGCGACATGGACATATCTCGTACACATCTCTTCACCGCACTCATTCGCAACGGTATAAGAAAGAACAGTCGTCTAGGTGGCGCCAAGAAGAGCGCTGTAGCAGGAGCCATAGGTGCGACTGAAGGCACACGGGGCAAGCATTACATTGCGCTAGGAGGCATAAGCTGTCTGTTCAAGAAGGAGATCCTCCCATACAAGAAGTACGAGATGTGGACAAGACTTCTGTGCTGGGACAAGAAGTGGTTCTATCTCGTCACACACATGGTCAAGCCTGGCGTGGCACAACCAGAGAGCTGGACACTGCAGCCTTGGAAGAAGTCTAAGCCAGCCAAGGATGTTGACACAGAGAAGCTCAAGGGCGCGATATATGCCACTGCGATTGCAAAGTATGTCGTCAAGAGAGGCAGGATCACGGTGCCACCGGAACATGTGCTGGTCGATGCCGATATGGTACCTGCAAAGCCAGAAGGCTGGGTCTACCAAGAGGCTGCAACCGAAGAACAAGGGTCGAATGGCGATGTCCTGCCCAAGGCTGTAGAGGCGAAGGATTGGAACTGGGACGTTATCGAGGCAGAGCGACTAAGGGGCTTGAAGGTGGCCGAGCACTTTGCGGCTATGGATGGTATGCATGACTTCTTTGATGGCGGCAAGGAGGGAGTTTTGGGAGAGTTCGCGGATTTGCTGTACTGATTTGGGTTCGATGTGACTGGGCCTAGGAGAGCTTGATACCCTAGATTTGGATCTTAGAACCGCGAGGCTACTGCATCGCTGGTCTAGACTGTCTTGAATACAAATATTTAAAAATATCCTCTCGTGGGGTAATTATCTCACCCGCATTCACGAGGCACCTGGGCAGTGTCGCGGATAGCGGACACTAGCGTCGCGCTAAGCCACTGGGACCTGCAGTGCCAGCCAACCTCGAGCCCTGCCTTTGACAATCACCGGTCACCACATGCGGTGGGCGCCGTATTTCACTCCGGTTCAGCCTTGTGGCTTCCAGCTTTTGATCTCTCCATGCGACTAACTATGTCCACTGACCAGCAGGGCACAGGTCATCACAAGCATTCCACCCGATACATTGCTTTGGCCTGCTACAAGCACGCCCGATCGGGTTCAGCCTGGCACTCACGACACGCGCATTTCGCCCACCATTGACGTTCGGGTTCGCGATATACTCATCCAACCGGTGCTTCAGCAGTCATGGCCGCGACGTCAAACCTTGCCGCACATGGAGCAGGCCCTGATATGATATATATCGGAGAGCTTTACGAAAGCATATCGCGTAGTCCTCCAGGTATAGAAGCCAGGAAGCTGCTTATCGAACATTACATCGCAGTCGGCAATGAATGGCTGGAAGGCGCATTAGATGAGGCCAAGAAGCTCCAGGCTTTAGCTCCAACAGACCCGGATGTCGCTAGGTTCTTAAAGATTCTGGAGAAAGTACCAGAGCCTCCAGCGCCCGAGAAGAAGGCAGTCAAACCGATACACGCATCTTCAGCGCAGTCCGGAGGCGAACCCTTGAAGAACTATCCATTCACGACGAAACCAATATCGAAACGTGGATCCAAGCGGTCGGACTTCATCTTAGGCGAATCAGTAGATGACCTAAACGACGAACAACGGAATCTGGTTACTGGTTATCGTGATATACGTGCCAAAGCAACACATGTATTTGCGAATCTGCTGCGTCTACAGACCCTCCAGAAGAAGGCCGGCTTACCCCAATCGAAGAACCTCGCTAAAGTCCATCTCATGGCGGATGGAAGCAATGGGGCCGTCCACAGTGGAATGCGCCCACCTGCAAGTGCTCGTTCTGTGGCGCGAAACATCCGCGACAAGCCAAAAGAGGCTACGAACCTGGTTATCGCAGATCTGGAAGCCATGATTCAATGGGTGCGCGCGCCATATGGCACACCCTCGGGTGCAAGTATCGATACCATTCGCGATACACTGGTCAAACGCCGAAGCGCCATTGATTCAACGCTCCCTGATGCGCTCAGATTCCATTGCGAGCTTGGTTTCATGCACGTCGAGCATGAGCATCTGGAAAGGAACTACGTCAATGACGAAACCATGCTTGGAGATGAAATCAAGGACATTGCCAGAGAGGACTTCTATGTGACCGAGGACAACTATGCGTGGTCGATGGATGGTATGCGACTTCCATGTACGAACTACGATGAGACCCATACTAACTTGGTGCCAACCTTAGAACTTGTTCAGGCTATCCAGGCAAATGGCGGTGTACTCCGCAATCCTCTTAGCAGAGAAATGTTTACCCCGAAAGATGTCAAGGGGATTCTCCTCCACCCGACAGGCAAGTCTCTTGCAGCTCTACGAGTTGAGCAGCGCGAGATGTCCAAGGGCGTGCGGACGGAAACAATCATACAAATGGAGAAGCTCTCAGCGATCTTGCTAGCAGATCAAAGTAGCGATACGCTCCCCAGTCGCAAGGCAGTAGACGAGTTCCTCCTATACATTGCAACACGTAGGTCTTCCTTCGGCACAACGACGACCAACAGGCTAATATATGAGCAGTACCAGATCTTGAGCAAAAAGCGATCGAAGGTCTCAAGTGTCCTGCCACAGACTCTCACACTGGACAGTCTTATGACTGGTCTATTGGCGAAGCAGTGAAGGATGCGAAAGGAAACCTTGTGTGTTTTCACAAGACAGGCGACTTCATTCGGCAAGCCGCTGCGCATCTGCGGAAGAATCGTGGTGTCGCTCCCGACACCGACGAAGGTAATTGTTCGATCATGTGATGTCTTGTAGCAGCTTCATGGTCTCAAATCGGGAGTCTCCATGCGTTTTGCATTAGCAGTCCATTGCGTTCTAGAGGTAACATTATCCACAAAGGGTCGTCAGTGGTTACAACAATGTCTGCTACCCTCAGGCACATTTGCAGCTGAATCAGGCTGGTTCCGGGCGCCGTAGTCACGAATCCTTAGATCACACAATCCTACAAGGCATTTTCATACGCCGATTGCTCGATCAACTTTGCCAGATAGCTTTCGTTGACCATTCCTTACATTTGATTGCCATTCTCGTCGCCTCGCTTACCGCTGTCTCGTACCATGGTTAGCCTACACAGTCGCAATCGCACTAGCCGTTTCGGGGGCCGGTGAATGTGCTTTCCGTATAAGCCACCCTGTTCAGCCTTGTGCGCAGCCCCCAAAGTCTCAGTCTCCGCAGTAAAAGGCCACCCATCACATGTGAGCTATACCAGACTAGCCATGTATCTTTGCCGTAACATCCATTATGGACCTCCAAGATTTGATGTTCCTCCTCCCTCATCAGCCGACGGTCTATTGGCCGCACCTCTTTCAACACGACCAACCCTATGCTACCCTGGGTCCCACTATCCTCGTGCGCTTCCAAGGAAAGCGCGATTCTGGTACAAATCCCCATTGTACCAAATTCAACCCCTGCAATTTGCTCGAAAGTTCTTGTGCTTTGTTGCCGGTAACCGATACCCACGATTCTCTTAATACCGACCGTTCGTAACGCGACTCGAACTAGCCGTTCCATCTGTATCCATTTTATCATCTCACCCCTGGCGCAGGGTCATTCCCCATAAACGTATGACAAGCATGGCCACCGCCGTCATGCCTCCTACTGCAGTCGAACAGGATACCGGCAAACGCTCCCACATGTCATGGGCCAAAAAAGCCATACCGTTGAAGAGCACGGCGATCTTCAAGAAGACCGATCACAGTCAAGAATGGCATGCGGAGGTGGAGGCCACTGCTGGGGTACTACACCCCTCACACCGTCGATTCCCATGGGGCTTCATCCGCAATCACACCGATACCTATCTCAAGAAGAAAGGCAAGATCAGCCAAGAAGAGACGGATAGGAGGCTTTCGTTGTTGGTTCAGACACACCCGGCAAGAGATGTCGCTATAGCTTCCGTAGCGCATGCTATGTCCGTGGAGAGCCTGAGCCAATTACTACGAGCTGAAACGAACGTTATGTGTGGAAGCTATTGGGGCCTCGACACTTGGCTACAGAGCGTGATAGCTGCGCATGAAGGAAATCCTGCCCTAGTTACACGTCTGCAAGCAGAATGGGCACGCGCGCTCTTACCCTATGCGACCACCGGCGCCAGTGCAGCCGGCTACTATCTGAAAGGCGTACAGCGAGCCTTGCAGAATCACCAAACTCATAATACGGACGTCGATCTACACAATTTCGCGGTGCTCTTACGACGAGCTATAAAAGATTATGCGGAGCAGCTGAATGGCTTCCGGTTGACATGTAATTGGGTAGCAGCTAAGAAAGCAGTAGACTGGATGACGGAACTGGACGTGTCGTCGTCTTCGGATTCACCTTGTACCAACATAGAATCTGTCTTCGATCGCCACCACTTCCCAGCCTGGAGAATGTGGGCCTCTTGGACACCGGATGTTGACCGTATCACGCGTTTCTCTAGGATAGACACCATTCATATGTCAACTATCCTCGACGTCGCGGCTCTGGAAGGACCTGATATGATCACAGGTACTAGGCATACCTTACGTCAGGGTTTGATAGCGGGCTATGGCGAACAAAGGAACTGGGTACACTACCGCAGCCTGATCATCGAGGTCCCTGAGCACACAAAATCATGTTTAGCGACCATCCTAGAAAGACTCGTGGTAAGGTTGGATGCTGTCTCCACCTCACTGCCCCAGGGCGAAAGCCTCTTTTATCTGTTTCGAGCATTGACCATCGGCGGAACAATTACGAAGAGCAGCTTGGATCTTTTCGACGCTTCGTTAGAGATTGCATGCACACCGGAGAAAGATAATCATGCCTTCATTCGCGAACTATGGTCCGAGAAGGAGCAAATCGGCGGACTCCATGTCCACGCTCTTCAACAACTCCTCCATCTCCTCGACGCACCAAAAGCGACGAGTTTTCGCGAGCTTTTCCTCCAAGATTGGCTATTCGAGGGGATCGGAGAGTGCTTTCGCGAGTGCCAATCTGTCGTAAGGAATCAGATGAAGACTTCGGCTTGGTTACGCCTTCTACTTGAGCTACACACATTTTGCATGGCCGTGAAAGCATCCGAACACATATTCCCGCGACTGAAGCCTGCTGTCCGAGCGAATATCGGCGCATGGCCCAGCTCTAAACGAGTGACATCAATCAAGGAGATATACGTCGCCGCCCAAAATCTACATCAAAACGAATTGCAGACAAGGCACACGTTCGTCTGGTTCAATCCTGATACCTCGACGGAATCCCTCTTATTCGCATCCGATGCGAAAGATCAAAAATCACGGCACGCACTTGAAAAGATCATCGAGAAACACTGTGTCGACCACCTGCTTACTGCCGAAGTATCTTGCGACAATACCGAGCAAATATTGCGTGATATCCTTGAAGTCTGGGAGAATACCGGAGAAAGTGTGGATGATGTCGACCGGCGCATGCTAGCTATAATGGTTTCAAGAGATATCGACAATCCTTCTGGACACAAGTGCGAATGTATCTATGAGCTCGCAGTAGATCTCAGCTTGGGACGATCTTCTTCTTTTGTCCGAGACATGGTGCGTATCGTTCGTGTGCAGGAGACCGACTCACGGCAAGCTATCATTGCTTTGACGAACACCCTGGCAGCACGGGAAGGTTGCAAAAAATGTTGGAGAGGGGTCTTACTAAGATGGCTAAACCAAAGTGAGAAGCAAGAAGCGCGATGGGGCACTGCCATCATCGACCACCTGATCCAAACCATGGATCCTGCGACATGGCTCTCCTTCATGCAATCACTGGAGAAGATCTTCGCCGACATCATTGCCGATAGCACCAACAAACACGAGTTACCGTCTCTACTTCAGCCCCAGATTTTGACTTGGGTATCGCAAGTATCAAAGTTCGGGCCCACCTTAACGAAGCTCGAAGAAGTATCCGACAGTTCATTCGCAGTACGTCAAATGTTATCTTATGGTACCGAACCACAAAGGAAACAGAACCTGGCCATGCTTTCACATCTCCAAAAAGCGGAAGGGAATTCAGCCGAGAGAATTATGCAAAACATTGTCATATGGGTACGCGGTCGAATGTCGGATATGCGCGAGGTCATTGAGTATTTATCTAAACTACTGGACGCACCATATGAGGCTATAGAAGCTTGCAACGAGATTTGGGATGCGAGATGTGGATTTCTGGACATACCTGGTCTTCCTACTCACGAGCAAGCTGTTCTTTCTCGGATCGTCTCGAGAGATGTTGTCTACTACGACGGCGCGTCCAAACAGTACAAGATCATGACGCAACCAGACTCATTGACGCCAAAGAAGAAGAAACCCCTTCAAACAATTGCCAAGCGAAGATACGACATCCCACTAGCTGTGGCTGAGGTCATGGTTGCTGGTTGGATCCAAGACGACGACGTAGCAGCAGAGACGAAAACGATCATCGAACGCCTCGCTCAGCTACTCAAGTTGAAAGTATACAAGCAGACCATCCCTCAAGTCACGCTCTCTAAAGCAACAGAATTCTGGGATAGCATCGAAGCAGAGATCATGCAAGAAGCCGAACGCCTCGAAGGGCTAAAGCGAACACTGAAAGCGAAAGACCCCTTGCAGACAGCCTTGCTGATCGAGGAGTACAATATACCCGATAGCAATCTGCTGGAAGATGAAATACAAGAACTACCTTCCGGCATCATCGATCTAGTTGAACTAATCGATGATGACGAGATTGAGATGAGCTTCACACTCGCTTCCTACACTGAGCTACAACGAAGCGCAATGGGCGTACCGAGCACAGCGAACAACCTTCTCTTACGGCTAACCATCGATCGGTATGGGAGTAAGCCACCCGCGTTCTGTGTGCACTACGACAGTGACAAGGGTATAGAGACTGATCAACATTTCCCGTGGATCTGTGTTGCAACTTCCAATGCACCACACGGTAATGTGTGTTTCTCGAAGCAGAGCGTCTTCGTATGGCAGATGAACAGGCATATCCATCGGTACCTTCGCGCGGGGAACGTATCGTTAAGAGGGCTGTACGGCCTCGTCCAGACTATGATCGGAGAAATGGGGCAAAGATGCATCTCCTGCGGCTGCCGCCACAAAGGGAGGAGCACGCAACTGCGGAGATCTACACCATGTTGGACTGTCGCATGTCAACTGCTATGGTAAGCCATCATCGAACAGAAAGCGTCAATAGTACAATCACTAACCACCGCCGGAACAGGTACGCCCTCCCCCTCGACGTCCGCATCCCCGAAATCCGCACCGACATCTTCGCCGTCGACATGCTTCTCAGCTCTGTCTACAGCGCCGCCATGGCCAACAAAGCCGAGCTCCTCCCTAACTGTCCCATCCACCCCATCAGCACCGTCAAAACCATACTCGATAGTCTCCCCAAACTGTCCGTCATCCGCGACGCAGTCCACATCTCCACTGTCCTATCCAGATACCACGCCGACGCTGAGAAGCTCATCTCATGGGCATGTACGCACTATAGAGGCTATATAGCTACAGCGAACGGTCTATGTAGGATCAAGAATCTGCCTATGGGGACGCATCATTTTGTCCTGGCGAATGCGAGTCCGGCACTGGAAACGGCATATATGGCAAAATTTCCGAGGCCTTCTACGCAGACTACAGTACTATTTCACGGTACATCACTCGACCGCCTCCCAGCAATCCTCGCTAAAGGCCTTATCGTTTGCTCGGGTACGACTCTCCAACGCACGGGGGCTGTGTATGGGAGAGGTATTTATATGGCGGAAGATCCTGCGACGTCGTTTAGTTATGCGCCTGTCTACTCGACGTGGAAGAACAGTGCGCTGGCTAATATGCGTGTTATCCTTGGGTGCGAGGTCGTTGGGCAGGGTAACAGCGTTACCACCGGTGTTCATGTTATTACCGATGAGGCGAGTGTGATGGTGCGATATATCTTTCTATTCCGACAGAACGCTCATGCGCCTGTTGCGAATCATGTTGTTACGGCTATGAAGAGTGCGATGGCGGCGATGAGGACGGGTGTCGTGTAGTAGAGGTGGCGATGCGATAAATTGGTGTAAGGCATATTTTGCTTGGAGTGACAGCATGTCATTGAACCATAATAATAACGTTCGTCTTTCGGGCGGACTTCGTTTTGACGTTGCGGTATTGCCACGCCGTTGTGAACCTTTTCTGCGTTGAATAAGGATGCACCCGGTAGCTGCTGACATGAACGTAAAATCCAGCCCTATCTATTTTAACCCTGCCCAGCGATGTCGGGCTTCTTGGAAAAGTCGGCAATCCAATTTTCACGGCTTGTTCAACCATTTCCGATCTTTTGACTGCGTGTTGGACAAATTTGGTGGTGTGGTGAATTAATGTTCTGTTTGCTGATGCAAAATAAATTGTGGTTCTAGCGAGGCGACGAACAGCACCACCTGCCCCAACAACATGCCCCCCACGACGCGGATGACACGGCATATTCACATCAGAAAATTCAGATTCAACATCTACCTGGTGCCCTTTTCCACGGGTATCAGAGAAAATACGAACTATGTTGTGCGCTGGTCGCTACAAGGTATGGCATAGCATAGCACAACACAATACAGCGTATCTGAATATCACCGATAACTCTAAGAGACACATTACATCATTACATTGCAATATGAAGATTTCTGTCATTCAGCATCCGATCTGTAAGAGGTGGATTAGGTGCAGCGGGTATGCTTGGCAGCCATAGCGGATAAGACGGCACAATGCTTGTGATTGACACATGGTCTTGTCCCAGAAGCCACATTCATGGCAGAGCCAAGTCGAAACCCCCATATTTCTATGCAATCCTTTACTGAAGTCAGCAAGTACTCAATAGTCTGATGTTAAGCCAAGTTCGTCAGTGACAACACAGCATCCTACAGTGAAGGATTATAGACTTGGCGCAAGTGAAATCTAACGCACGCAAGAATATAAAGAGATATGAAGTAGAGTAGCACAAAGTAACACATGATGTAGTCCAATGAAGAAAAGTAACAAGACAAAGTGGCCAAGAGGTTGCACAGACAGGAGATGTATGCTGTGTGGTACACGGTCTCCGCCGAGGCTGGTGTGTCCGCACAGAGCTACTTGGCAGCGGAGGACAAAGACATGTAATCTGCTGACACACTGTTGGGAGAGGAGAAGGAACACATGTACTACTGAACGCTTGGCTTCCCCACGGAGGTGGACTGTGTATACTCTGGGGTAACTGCACTACAAGTCACGGAGTGCTGCTGGTGATGGCTCGCGCCGACACCAAGACGACGTCGAGGTGGCCACTATAATGAATCGTGAAGGATGGTAGCCGGAATGAACGGTTGTGTGTTCATCAAGAACGATATTGAGGTTGAGCTGCATCATATCGTGGAAGACCAATTTGGACGTCCGCGGCTCGGATAGTCCCGCGAGGGAAGCCAAGGCAATGTCAGAAATGCCGCACCCAAGTGCAACACTTGGAGAAGCTGGGCATACTTTGTCTAAAGTAAGGTGCGGACGGTGAACGATAATGACCCGGGCATGAAGGCATGAAGGAATATGCCCAGGCGGAGAAGGAGGAGAGGCGCACGGCGGACACATTGGATCGTCGGGGGGTGTGTGTTCCCAGTGCCAAGGGCGATCTACACAGATCCGTTGCTGACGCAAAATTGATCTGCTACTTGGCGGGCCATCAAACCCATCTGGGGATGCAACGAGCATAGATTACTTGTGCGCTTGCCCAGACGGGAGAACATGTTATGGCCTCGTGACGATGGTGAAGTAGGCTCTTGGTATGTGATACAGGACCGGTCACGGAAACTCTCTCCACCAGGGGACCGACGCACCGGAGCCAAAGCGACACTTGAACTGGTCGCGCATCAAGGTCTCGCAGAGCTGGCGCCAGTCAAGCGATAGTTCCTGGGCGGTAACATCGATGGCTGGTGAAGGCAGGCGGACGCTCTTTAATTGGTCATCAAAAAGCACAAAGTGGGCTTGCTTGAGCAAACGGTTGCGTTCGGCGTCTGCGACAGCGCCGGGATGGAAGAAAACCTGAGTGAGGCGGCTCGTCAAGTCTGCCGTCCCTGCATATGGCCGGCGCAAGGATGGCGTGTCGTTCACAGTTGCCGGTGAAGATAGTTTCAGAACAAGTCTGGCCTTGGAGCTAGCGGGGACAAAAGACGAGGGCTGGAAGCGAAACGACGGCAACTGCACGCGGAAGGTGTGATATGGGGATTGTGTATCACAGCGAAGATCAGGAGGACTGGCATGGTGAGTGAAAGTTTCCCGAGCAGCGCAGGGTGAAACGCGGCTTACAGCAAGTTCCATAGCGTCTGTCCAGCGAAGCGAAGACTGCAGGTACGCGAGACGATGCGCGCGAAGACGTCTTGCGCGACATGAGCCAGAAAGGGAGATATCTGGCGCAGCACGAACCAGGCGAAACAGTGATCGTCTATATACATGATGATAATGTGCCATATCTCGACCGGTAAGTCTTCAGGCGACATGACACGCACATGGCGTTGCAATGCGCGTGACGGTCGCGGACCGACAGCGGTATTGGCGGTGGGGGTTGGCGATTCAGGGCTCGGGGCAGACATGGAGAGGTTGGTGTCGGCAGCGGCGACGGAGGGTGATATTTGTGGGTGCGATGATTATTCCCGCACTCGTTCTGGAGGCTGAGGCAATGCGGTGAGGCTCACTGGTGTACCGGCGAAGCATCGGCAGTCGCGCAGCCAAGGGAGGCGAGAGCGAGCCACAGGCAGGACGTCACGTGGCGCGCCGACGCGGCTTCCTCGTTGGGAAGGCCTTCCTCGGTCTGGAAAGAACTGGGGCGCGTTGGCGCATCCATGCCTGCAGCCTCACGACAGCCAAGTCATCTCGGTCGCGATCCAAATTCAACAGACAGGACCCTGCGCAACGTCGTGTGTGCGTAGCATCGCAACGGCGCCATGGGACGTGTGGAGTCGCAGATAGCATGTATTGTATGACCATAACATGGGGTGTAATTGGGAGCCGTTGGCCAGGCGACGCTGGGCGGTCGGGGGCCTCTGATTCGGCCGATATGGTCGGGTGGCAGACAGCTAAGGCTGATTCGAGGCAGGCCCCGAGACGCCCCTTAGCCGCTTGGCACGTGCTTAATCATGGAGTGCGGTCCTTTGTGCAGAAGCGGCGGCGGTCGATTACGCGGGGGGCAGAAAACAATTGCTTCATCTGGGCATGCTGGTCGCGCGCGCTGCATGGGGGGAGTCGGATATTATGGCGCGGCGGCTGCAGTTGAGGGAGTTGGGATAAGTGGCATATCTTGGTTCGTGGGTCTGGAAGGCCGCTAGAAGAAAATTGTGCAAATGCGAAAGTCGGAAAGTCGCGCAGGCAGCGTGGGGAGCAGTCTGGATACGCGGCTCTCTCGTACGGGGGGAAAATGCCTCGCACTCTGGCTGAGATCGCGCCAAGCACTCAAGCTTTCCTGCGTATGAGTGCTGAAGCTTGGTGCGTCCGGAGTGAGCAAGGTGCGTGGAGGAGCTGTTTGCCGGTCGCTCTTGCCAAACGTCATGGGAGCTGATCCCTGCAGCGCTGCACGCTTGTCGCGGACTGTCGCGCTATCTCCAGCTTAATCTCTGCTGCCGCTGGTGGAGAAGCAATGAACCGCGCTGCGAATCGCGACGCCGGCTGCTGACATCCCAATTGCTGTCGGCTGGTGCCCGTCGAGGTACCAGAGTCTGCGCACACAGCAACCGCAGTCGCAGCCGTACAGCATCGTAGTAAGCACTCCGTCATCAGCGCATCACGCTCGGCCGGGCGCTGCGACGGCCAATCTCTGCGCCATGTCGCGCGCCGATGATGTAGCGGCTGGCGCACGGGCCGCTCACAACAAATTCACCCCCGGGACTCTCGGCTCGAGCTAAGCTCCATCCGCGGTTAGCTTTATGACAATCATAAATCCCTCATAGCGGCCAAAGGTCGGTCCTTGCTGAGTTTTTCCCTGGGTTGATACGTGGGTGAGTTTCTGCCGCGCTACTTAACCAGAGCCTCTCCCGCACCCTCTGCACTTTCTTCACAGAGAAGGCCCTGCTTGCAGTTACCCATTTGCACAGCACATTCGACCTGACACTCAACCTCACCGTCAAGTCGCCTCGGAAAGCCTTCTCTGTGCCTAGAGTTACCGGATATAATAATACATACGAGCAACAGCATTCCTTAATTCGACAAGATGGCGCCCAACGACGATGTTGAGCGCCCCCGCGCCTCCAGCGCCGCTGAGCGGCAAAAGTCCATCGTCTCCATGACCGAGTTCGAGGGCATGGACGAGTACACGGCGCTCCAGAAGTACATCCTCTTCTACCGCGACACCCGAACCAACCCGCACGCCGAGCAGACCCAGAAGAAGAAGGCTTGGTGGCAGTTCTGGAAGTCGGGTTCCCCCACCGCCGCCACTCCCATCCAGGACGCCGGCGCTGTCCCTGACGACTGTAAGTTTTACCACTCTCCCCCTCACAGCATCCGTTTGCAGCAATGCGCCGCGGCGAGTCACCTGCCTCGCCAATTCATCCTTTGTTGAGCTCGAGGGCCGACATCTGGTGGCTGGCGCGGGCCTGGTCCGCGCTCAAGCTGCTCCCTGCTAGCGACGCGATAGCGGCCTCCTCGGTGGAGCCAATCATGCAGACCGGCTCCACCAAACTACCCGCTTCTGCAGCATGCGAGATGAGCAACACGATGAGGAAACAAATTTGCTAACATCGCATCGCAGACCTCAACACTGAGCTCCGCACTGGTTTGACATCCGCCGATGTCGAGCAGCGTCGCAAGCGTTATGGCTTCAACGAAATCTCCTCTGAGAAGACCAACCTTCTCAAGCAATTCATCGGTTACTTCACTGGTCCCATTCTATACGGTAAGCATCCCTGCACAATTTGGCCTAGCGCAAAACTAACGCACGATAGTCATGGAGCTCGCTGCTCTTCTCGCCGCTGGTCTCCAGGATTGGGTCGATTTCGGTGTCATCTGCGGTATCCTGTTGCTCAACGCCATCGTCGGTTGGTACCAG